TTGTTTTTTTGTTGCTTCCCGTTCGCCCCCATTCTACCCTAAATCTTTTTTGTTTTTTTTTTTTTGGTTGTTTTTTTTTTTTTTTTTAAAACCCCCCCCCCCCCCCCCCCCCCCCCCCCAACTTGAAGCTCGAAACGTGCCATATTATCGGCATTTATGCCTGTACAATGGTAAAAGCGACCCGGTAGGCTTGTAAATTTGGTACGGGACCTAAGAAAAGTAAATTTAGTTCGCGTGGTACCCCATCGATCAGCAACATCAGCCAGGATCGCGTGTGGTCTTAGTCTGTATCTCTTGAAACCATAGACGAGATAGGTATATGAATGACGGTCTTTACTCGAATGGATACAACTCTCTTTGGCCAATACGGTCACAGAAAAATAGCCACTGCATATTAGTCCTACAGAGATATACATAGTAAACAAAGGCTCAAGAAAATTTAGGGCATAAAGTAGTACGCGCAGATGCCTACTGCCCACTGCCCACTGCCACAAGCTACAGTAACCTTCCTCGATCGGTTGGAAGACTAATCGAAGTGCATGAATATGAGATAACGTAAGAATATTTGAGAAGAATAGGCAATGCCAAATAAGAACGAGAAGCTTTATATGCGGCTGATAACTACTAGGATACCTAAAGTGAGCGGTATTTAAGATCGTGAGATGTCTTGGCTTAGACCCATTGAGCCCTAGACTTGGTTCGGAGTTTGGTTATAAGCCGGCGTTACCGTGCCAAATACCACCCATAAAGCGTAGGGCTGAAATCAGACATCTTCCATAAGCGCTGTAGGAGGTACCTAATACAATCTGGTTCAGCTTGAAAGATACTGATGCGCGAGCTTCACAAATCAACGATATAGGCAGGAAAGTGCTCTAAGTACCCCAAACAACATGTCAGCACACGCAAAATCACCGTTGCGGTCATTATTCCTAATCGAAGGCCTCATGAAACTAGCAGGAGGATTAGTATTTATACTCTCTCCTCAAACCCCGCTGTCCGTCGCGGTGGCGGCACCTATCCCGCCCATCGCACTATTATTAAGCCGGCTGCTAGGCACTCAGACGTTTACGCTAGGGATATCTATGCTGCTCGCTTCGGCGAGGACGCCAACGGCAGCGTCGAGCAGACGCATAGTCTATTGGACCGTGTTCGCGAGAGACGCTACTTTGGCGACGGTGCTGGCCTTGCAGCTATGGCTCGGAGATAACGCGGACGTGCTGGGCTTCTCGCCAAATGGACTGCGCGCGTGGCTCGCGGAGCTGATGCCCTTCTGCTTGGGCCATCTGTGGGTTCTGACGGCGAAGTCGCATTGGTTTTGATACCTGGTGCCTATTATGAATGCTTAGGTACCTGGTACCTTGCAGCCACATGGCGAGGCCGATATGATATATCATCATAAGCTGAAGTTGGCGAGAAGCATGTTAGTCATATATATTACTAGTGCTGTCTACGTATAACTCGACGCCGCACCCCAAAGGGGTGCTGCGCTTTAATTAGGAAATCGGGCAGTAATTAAGCTAGCGTACCAGACTTTAAGCACCAGTAAGAGGTTATTCCGATCCCTGTTACTTACTGAAAGTAGAAGAAGAAGAATAATATTTTATGAAATTTTATGAATGTTGGAAAATACTTCGAAGCACGTAGGAATTACATTTGTTCGGAAGTATTTCGGATCGAATCCCTAATCTTGCCCGTTTCCTTCATTAAAGCGCAGCACCCTTTTGGGGTGCGCCGTCGAGTTTACGTAGACAGCATTAGTATTTTGTGGAACAGGGATAGCATCCTTAGATAGGGGAGCATCGCATGAAAAACGACTTGTGGGAGACCTTATTTTTTTGATATATCATTTCAGGTGACCGGCCGTAGCGAAAACTACCTCAGACGACAGAATACGTTCGGGTAGGTAACACGCAACATGTACAACAGGGATGAGGTATATTATCTATTTATGACGAAAAAGAATATTACTACTCATTGGGTATCTTCGGGGTAATTTCTCCAACAGTTGCCCATATTTCTCAGTTATAATGCTCTAGTCTGAGCTCTCTTTATATTTCATCTCAAGATCTTCAACGCCAATGCGGGGCATTCAAAATGAATCCCATGAGGCACCCGGAGATGATCCCGGCGCAGGGTAATGTCAAGATCCAGCCTCCGTAGATCCAACCAATCATTCTCCAGTTCAGCGCCCGCCAATCTCCATTGCAGAGACCTACGCCGACAATAGCGCCCGTGATGCACTGCGTAGTCGATACCGGGAGCTCTGGAAAGTAACAGGTTAGTTACTTCAAGTCTATTCAAATAAGCGGAGGGGGTCGAAAGGGTGTTGTTGACTTACTGAGTCGCGTAGCTAGGATAATGGTAACAGCACTTCCAAGTTCCATAGAGAAACCTCGAGAGGGCGAGTTCAACGTTAGCCGGTTGCCAAGGTTAGCCATGATATGATACCCGTAAGTCCAGAGGCCGATGACGATGGCGACACCACCGAAGGCAAGAATCCAAAGGGGTACTTCGGGGTTCGTAGGAACCTCGCCCTGTTGCCATATCTGGTAGATCGTCGTAAAGGGGCCGATGGCACTACTCGCGTCAGCATATTCCTATGATGCAAAAAGAAAACCCTGCAAGAGGGCTAGGTTAGTGTCGTAGTAGACTTACTTCGAAACGTCATTAGCACCGTGCGTGAAAGAAGCTGTGCAAGCGGTCATGATCTGCAGGAAAGAATACATGAACTCGGCCTTGTTGTCGTAGTGTGCTGCTCGCGCGTGTTTCTCCTCGAGATCCCCCGACAACATATCCTTCTTTTTCTGCATGTTGACGACGTCCTGGTCGACACCGTTGAGGAGCGCTTTCTTGAGATACCAGAACAGCATCTGGCCGGAATACCACGCGACGCCCTCGGGCTTGGGGCCGACAATCGACTTCTTCTCCGGGACGTTGGCGAATTCGTCGGATCCCTGGTCGGATTGCCTCGAGGACTTGACGATGGCGTCTGCGATGTTGGCTTCGTTGGCGGTTTCCTTGCTGCCGGCTGCCTCGACGTCGTTCCGAGCTAGAGCGGCGGCGCGCTTGGCTTCAAGCTCCTCTTTCGTGAGATGGCCTTCGTAGAAGTTGCGGATGGCGCCCTGGAAGTTCGACGGGGGTGGTGGGACCTCGCCGCGTCGCAAAAGAAGGGGGCCGAGAGGAATGTGGTACCACCGAAGTTCCCAGTCCTCCTGGACGACTACGCGCCATAACCAGGGCATGAGGAATATCGCAATAACGACAGCCCAGCCAATACCACTGCAGACGATCACAGCAGCGAGCTCGTTGTCTTTCAAGTCGATGGTATACCCGCCGCCCTTCCAGAGCAGCAGCATAACCAGAAGCGACGCGGTAAACCCGAAGTAGACGGGGACTAAGGCGAAAGCCTTCATGACGGGATCCTTGCGCAGCATCACTCCGTATTTGGTGATGAGGAATATGATAGAAGCGAAAATGGCCGAGAGACCAGGCGCAATGATCCAGGCGAGGAAGACCGAGACCACACCAGTATTGATCACCTCCGTGGACTTGGTACCAGCCGGTGCAACCCATGTGACGTTTTTGGCTCCCACAGATGCAACTCCCATCCCAATAACACCTCCCATGATGGAGTGGGTAGTAGATACCGGTAAACCGATCCTAGTGGCCAAAGTAAGCCAGACGGAGGAGGCGATGATGGCGCAGACCATCCCGAGGAGGAGCACTTCGGGCGAGTCGGTGTATAGATTCGGGCTGACGATCTTGGTCCTGATGGTATCGGCCACGCGGGCTCCCACGCCGAGTGCTCCTGCGAATTCCATGATGCTGGCCCCTATCATGGCCTGGAACAGGGTTAACGAGCGAGACGCGACCGAAGTCGCCCATGAGTTGGCCACATCATTGGCTCCTATAGATCAAAGTAAGGTTAGCGTCAGTTTTCCCCTTTAGAGTGCGGGTGCGAGTATGTGGCCAGCGTAACAGGAGGCGTACCAATATTCCAAGCATCAAGGAAGGCAAATATCAAGCCTATAGCAAAAAGGTAGTCGTACTGGGCCAACGCCATCCTTCCCTAGTAATATAAGGTAAATAATACCTATCACGGGTGGGACAAGAAGGTAGGTAAGGCTCCCCAATACTGAAGCTGCTGAAGGGGGATGGGTTTATAATTTTGGGGAGGGAACTATATTATGTATTATATATAATTTTCACATCAGCTGCATACGTCGCGGACCGCAAGTGAGCTGAACAACCAGAATGGGGCTAGTTGCATCATCCGAAAGTGCATATATGATGGGATCGCCACGCCCATCGACCCATCAGAAAAACCTCATATCTAAAATTTCCCAGGGCCTCGCGCGAACTTATTTTCTCACACCAGCATAGCCAATACGCGGTCGAATGCATGCAACGTGGTTTTTCGCACTAGGAAAGAAAAAAATCAGTAATTTGACCGTGGATCCAACGTCGCGGCCGGTGGAATATAGCATGGAGAAGCCAGGCTGGGGATCTCGGTCAAAGTCGGTTTGAGGTGTCTCCCGCGCGCGCTTGGCTCTTGGCTTCTTGAATATCTCACCATGCACCATGGGTGGATGTTTAGCTTCTGCCGAGACTCACTACGTAATAAGATCTCAATTGGGCGATGGTGAAGAAAGAGGCGAGTATCCCTAATCCTAATCCTTTCCATCTAGTTAAAACTTCTTACCTTATTGATGTAGGCAGTAACCTGGTAGACCCCTGAAGTCTCGTTGGTATGAGGGTACACTTGAACATCAAGAGTTCTTGGTGTACTCAAAGAGCCCTAGATAGGAGGTACCTATGTTAGGAACATATAGACCAGGTAGCTTGATATGAAACTTGATATATATGACAGATGGAGAACCTTCAGGTTACTCTTCCAGAACCAGGCTGGTCGATTTTCATCAGGACGAGTAAGAACTATACCCAGCATCTTGCTTGAATCTAGCCATCTTCGAGTATCGGTGGAAGATATGTCGCCATGGAACCCAAAAATATAAGTTATCGCCTTCCGCACAGCTGTCAAGCTGAGAGTTTTACTTGAGCTAGGTAGATCCTGGATCGGTATAGCACTTCACACCGGATATTTTAGGCCCCTTCCTAGTTTTCGCTTTTCATCTGGTGAACTTATGATAGAAGCCATGACGGCACGGTCCAAAAAAAAAGTTAAAAAAAAGTCGAGAGCATGTCAAGACCAGCCAAGAACAGCTTTCTACTTGGCCGGGGCCTTGGCGCCTCTTTATACTTGATCGAGCACGACGACTCACGAGTCGTTAGTTTTGAGGCTCTTGGCGGAGCGGCTAGTTACGACTTGGCCCGCATGCCCAGACTTGCGCCTCTGAGCTTGAACGGACCCTATGATGTTTCTTATTGATCCCACGTGGGCAATCGAGAGGCTGATGTAGGGCAACATGGGGTATTTTATAAGAAAGGGATTATCGTATAACCTTAAGTAGAAAATATTACAGGGTAGCAGGATTCACATTGTTAAAATTTAATTATAACAAGATAATTTCTCCTAATTACCCCATTGCATTGGTATTTGATGCATGTGATGCTTCAACGGTTTCTGTGTTAGTAATAATCATTATATTATAGGAGAGTTTTATGCCTCCACCAACATCACTGGTCTTTTCTTGACCTCAGTTGACGACTTGCAAAACTGTGTTCTTGCTACTGCCTATTCAAAAGGCTCAAAACGGATGAGAGCCAATTGATAGTCTTGACTTAAAGAAACACGAATGGAAGTTTATAGAAGGTATTGAAACATCTGGGTATCTATTATCGCCTTACCCGTTCCTCAACTGCTTTACCATTCTCATTGCAATACCCAGGGCTTATATGTAGGTGTAGGTAGTTTCAACCCCATATAACAGGGAGCCAAATGCGAGTAATTCTAACTGAACCGACAACTTAATTTAATAAGACACGAGTCTAGAATGGAAATACCCTTTCCTCATTAATCGAAACCACACCACTCGCATCTCTTAGGTATCGCGTTCCAAAACCCCGATCTTTGGCTTTCATCTCTTACTATATTTCTCTATCGCAACTGTTATAATAGAAATGGTATTTGATGGCAGAACAAGGGGAAAAAAAGCACATTACTCTTGGGCGCATTCTTACCACCAGCATCTTACCTTGGGCACCTCCTAAGGTACCTAGTCGTCCCATACGCTCAGCTCTTTCTTCCCCAGCTTTCCCGCACTTAGTTCCTGGAGCGATAGCGTAGATCCGTTCTCTCCTTGATATCTGCTTGTGATGGTATTATCCCGCGGCTTTCCACGACTCCCCTTTACCCCTTCCGTGTTATTGCCCCGGCTATTATGCGGCGTCTTGGAGAGATATGGCTGTGGCGGTAGCTGCGGCGAGTGTGTAACGTCTTTTGGGGATGTTGGGAGCGCAATGCCGATCGCGGAAGCATCCGGCAATCCCTTGTTTTCGTCGCCCAGTTCGATGTCCTCGGAGACGTAACTCCTCTCTCTTGCGTAATTCGGGGATTTGAGAGAAGGCAGCGCGGGCGAGCCTGGAGTCGATATGGGTGACACGGAGAACGTTGGTGATGCGGGGTGGTACGGAGGTGGCGCTGGTAGCGCGCGGCTTGGTGGCGGCCCAGCTGGTGTAACTAGATGCGGGATCTCTATGGGTTCTTCGTGCGGCCTTACGGGTCGAGGAGGGGACAATGGCAGTGGTGATAACTGCGAGTTGATCTCAGGCGTGGTGGATATTGTGCTAGAATACACCGAGCTGTCTTTTTTGGAATTGGCAGAAGTCAATATTCCAGCGGAGCCGTTATTGTATGAGATGCTACTATCAGCGAAGTGTACGACTGCTGGGGGCGACACAGAGACGGGAGGCTCGGTGACGATACTCGGGATCCCATGGCCTTTATGCGGTAGCATAATATTCTTTTCCGTGCTGGCATTAAGACTACTGGGTATGGTCATCCTTTCGTGCAAGCCGGAGACGAATGAGGAATTTGGCGTATCACCTTGCTTGAGAAGTGATGGGAGAAATCTACGATCACTGAGACGAGCTGGGGGTGTCAATGGCGGCCTCTTTGATGATGCTGACGGTAGCGGCGTAATTAAGGGTGTATGCAACCCGCTCTGTGGCTCTGAAGACGAACGGCCAAGACGAGGTGGATTTTGGTGGTCATCCAAGAAGTTTTGAGGACTTGATCGACGTCGGATTATCAGGAACCCCCCTAGGAAAACAATCGCTATTATCGCCAAGCCTGAACAAATGCCTATCGCTGCCTTACTTCCTTCCGAAAGGCCAGTCGATTTATGTGACACACTACCGATACTTGATGAATTTGAGTTGAATGCAGAACTTAGAGAAGTTCCCGTCGCTGTAGATAGCAGGCTGGATGGTGTAGTTACGATGGATGATGGGCCGTCACTCGGAAGAATTGTTCGACCACCAGGCTCACCAAGCGGTGACACTCCAAAAGAACGAGTTAGAGAGGCTAGAGATCGAGGCTAGAAGGATACTTACCAGTTAAAGCTGAACTGCAATTATATTTATCAGGCGGTGGCCCTGGGTCGTAGATCAGATAACCACCGATACTAGGTTAGGTATACAAGTTAATAACTACCTTCTACGTAGGTCGGATAATCTTAGTTAACTAATTCTGGTGGACATACTTCTGACATTTGTTAATAATTAAATCAACATTAGCTGGTGGATTGAGTTAGCTGAAGATGGCAATATCTTTTTACGTAGGGGATAACTGACGGCTCTGCCCCTTTTCACCCGTCCAGACGCCACAGAATGTCGAGTCGCAGCAATACAATTTCCAGAGTTCCGTATTGGGTTGACTGTTCGAGAGCAGCCTGCATACATCTTCAAAATTCCCGTTGGGGTCTTCACGTAGTTCATAAACAAACAAGTCGAAACACGCGGTTATGCAAGCTTCTGGGTTTTGGAGCCCGATGTCGGCCGGATTTGGGCCATTGCTTTCCCTCTTATACCGGTGGTCTCCCGTCTCACTGGCGCTGAACTGCTTAGAACTGGTTCTCGAGTTTAGGTCCATGATAATATATAAGGAAGGGTCTTGTCTATCACGAATATTTATCTGCGCAAGCCAAACAATGAAAAGGAACGAGAGGCATAATTTAGACGACCGAGAAGAGGATTAGTACTAGCAGTAGTAAATGAGATCTGACCGAGGGTTGAAGAGTGCTGGGTTCTTTGATGATGCTTAGAGTCAGAAGGATTACTTTACACCAAAGTGCTGCTTGCCGTCGTGGCGCCTGCAATATAGTATCTGCCATGTGCGCAAGTATTAATTGCATTGTCAGCCTCCGGCTATTGTAATCCATGGCGCAGCGCGGATGTACTTCGCACGACAGGACGCCGTTTCGCTCAGAATACGATTTGGGATAGAAAATAGCCAACCTTTCAGCGCAATAAGACAGTGCGCGTCGCACAAGTCCTGCACTCTCCCGTGCTGACGATAATGAGTCTCGTGTGGAAGCAGGGTTGCGGTTGTACATGTTGTTCGATGGTAGATGAGAGGATCTGTATGTACCCGCAGAACTTCTCTAGAAGAATGGGGTGGATATACCAGAAAAGCGGCAGGAAGGCAGTCGATGGTATCTGAACGGCTGAATACGAAATCATATCATGTGGTGCCGCAAAGCTGAGAGGTAGGTATGCGTCCCTTGCAAGACTCAAATCTTGGTCGCTGAAACTTGCACAGCACAGACAAATTTTTTTTTCTTGTGTCAGCCGAGATGGTATCCGAAGAAGTAAAGCGGTCTGTTAACTGCTTCTTGTTCTATTTTGAGCTGTAACTCGACAAGATTTGCCACTTGCTACCTGCTTCAAGTGCGAATATTGTCGTATTACTTATATTTTCTCACTCGTATTTCAAGTCTTCGCTGTTCCACTCGGACGACCAATTGAAAAGTCTAAATCTTACGGTTTATATAGTTGAAGATCGTAGTAGCAGAGTTTCAAACCAACTCGATGAGATTCAAAAATAATAACATGAAGTTGTCGACGTCGTATTTCGAGTTCTTAGTGTATCTCGCAAGGGGTAACGATAAATGAGTATAGGTTAGGTACCTTAGGTAAGATACCTAATGAATTCAAAAATATCGATCAGCTAGTGATGGGAACTGCCTATCCAATGGCTTTACAACGTAGGCGAACAGCCACAGGATAATACGAAACATTGTGTTACTATGTGGTCGTGGACGCATCTAGATAGAGGAGATCGGGAGCTTTTGCGAATGTTTGCTGTGGAATGCTTCATGTCACCGGTCACCAGTGGTAGTAGGACACAATAAATGTTTCAATTAGCGATTGACTTCATATGGGAGAGTAAACCTCAAATAATAAGGGGGTTAAGGGGGTGTTCTCTTTCATAGAACTTGTGAGAGCTGGGAGGGACGAGTTGCGCAGGCGAGTGAACAAGTATAATAATCACTCACAATCACCACCCATAGTCTTTTTACAGATCAAGCCAAGTCATGTCTGATGATGTCCTTTATATTCAATGTTCTAACACGCTGCCTTTTCAAGGAACAAGAGATTGATTATGGCTCAATCCAGATATGCATTGGAATGACGAGGCCGTGAGATCCATTGGGATATCAATGTTGAGTCTTATATGAAAGTTAAAAGGTTGTAAGTTTTGCATCTCATAGGGAGGAGGGATGTCTTTTTATGGACCTGTTCTTGTTTGCAAGTCTCTGTTCTATTAGTTGGAGTTAATACCTGGTATTAGTGTTGAATTATAGAGAAAATGAGAGATATGCCTTAGGTACCTGACATGACTAATCTTCGTAGTGGGGTAAAAGAACCCACCAACCCCCGCCATGCTACTATGTATGTAACTTGAAATTGAGATCGAGTTGGCGTATCGATAAATCCTGTAGCTGGTTCTTTATCTGACAAATACGATTGGACAAAAGGAACAGCGGGTACATGTCCAGCTGGAGCTACTACCTCATTCCATCATAATCCATCTCATCTTTTCTGCACTGTACCTTAGGTAAGTAAGCCTGAGATATTAGGGTGTACCTGCGTACGTAACTTATCGCCGATACGTTCAGCTTAGTGACCTATTTACTCGCCGGCCTCGACCAACACATCAACATTTTATCCATAAACGACGTTTCTTTTTCGTGTATTTACTTGGGACGAAATAGCATAGATCTTTAAAAGTTCTATTCTTCTCACTGCAGTCCATCATCATGGATCCGAATGAAGAACAGCCACAACCGACCCTGCCGCCGCAGGAGCAGGTATGCGACAACTTATCAACCTTCAAGTGTTCTATAAAGCTAACGATGCTAACCTTTACTATCAGATGCGCCAAAGGCGTCTTGCGAAGCTTGGTGGTCTTAATGCGGCACCGTCTAGCTCGTCCAACCCTAAACCAGAAGAAGCGAATAAGCCTGAGCCTACGGCCTCGTCAGCATCGCCAACCTCAACAACCTCAACAACATCGTCACTTCCGACTACTCTACCTAAGCCAAATGTGCCAAACCAGGAGAACACCCGACCAACTTCTCTACCAACCCGTCAGACAAACTCTGCTCTTTCTGCATCGTCTCCAATCCAATCCCCAGCACCAAACCCGTTTTCACAGTTTGGTGGGAAAGCCAAGACAGAGTCTGGAAACACACCGGAGGATTCAGGTAATAAACGTGTCTCCAAGAGGCCAAATGCAAGTAGTATTGACAATGGTAACCGAACAGCTGCGCCATCTAAGAAAATACATGCTTCCAAAGAAGAGACGTTAGAAAATTGGTCGAATCGGGTACTTGGCGAGATATTCCGCGTCACACTTGATGAGAGTCACACGACCGACAGCAGAGGCACTAAGTTAACCTACCTGCCAGAGCTCAAGGCTGACCTAGAACAATCTGGAGAGCCCATAAAACTTACAGCTTCGTCCATCGACTCGGCAATCCTCGAGGCAGCCAGATATGCACCCACGAACAAGCCGCTTTTAGATTACTTACTACCGTGCTGGAAGCGCGTCATAAAGGCTACTAAGCCTGCCAGACCACCACCCCCCGAGAAAGAAGCTATCTTGAACGAAGCTAAGCGGCTGTGCATGAGCAACTGCATCTTTGCACTCACCATGCCTGAATATTTTGGGTAGGTTACTCCCGATCCATATATGCTAGGTTAGGAGGTATATACATGTATATACGCTTCGTACTAACTACTAGCAGCCGTGACCCCAATCCGAACCACGACTCTCTAGTGCCCTATCTTCTCCGGCACCACGATAATGAAGACGGTATCTGCTTGGACTTCTTCGCCGATGCTGTTTCTCGTATACCGGAAGACGATACCGTTGCCGCTATTTTCGTAGATGCCATGGTTATCATGAGCAAGAAACTTGCTACCATGACCATGAATGATGACTATAGGCCATACATCAACGTAAGCTCACGTCCTTTGTTAGTATTTCATTGTGAACTGACAGCGGCAGTGTTTGGTTACATTTGCTAGATTCCCACCTTTGCTCAACGCACTCGCGGAGCATCCTAGCTTTCGCGTGAATCCTACACCAGATATGTCGAAGGAGCAAATAGCTTTGGCAAGCGAAACCCAAACTATCTTGGGGCCCTTTTTTCGCATCTCGCCACTGCAGACTGAGGTCACCAAGACCTATTTTGCTAGTCCGCGAACTATCGATCCCGGCCATGTGAAGTCATCCCAAAGTGCTCTCCAAATGACGCTGAAGGCTCATCAAAGCGACCTGACGAGCATCACGAATGCCTTCGTTCGTGCAAGCACAAACGCCCGAAACAATACCCTCGACTGGTTTGCATTTGCGGTAAATACAAACCATAAAAGGCGAGCTCTTCAGGTCAAACCAACTGAAGTCGCCTCAGATGGCTTCATGGTCAACGTGACAGCTATTCTGGATCAACTCTGTCAACCTTTTATGGATAGTACGTTTTCTAAAGTAGACAAGATCGATGTTGACTATTTACGGCGTAGCCCTCGAGTCGATATCAGTGACGAGACCAAGCTCAATGCTGATCAGGCGACCTCGGAGGCATTCTACAAAGCACAAGTACCCGGATCTTCTAATTTCATCTCGGAAGTATTCTTCTTGGCCCTAGCTGCACACCATTATGGCCTCGGAGCAGCGAACTCGAAACTCAAGGATCTTGACAAAGACATCAAGTATGTTGAGGGAGTTATAAAACAGATGGAAGAGGAGATATCCAAGCTACAGAACGTGAGTCGGTTTTCTCCCGAGCAGAGATTTCTTTTATTGTTGCTAACAAAGTTAGGATCCTCTGCGTCTTGCCGTGGCAAGGCAGCATCACCAGACCGCTATTAACGCTGTTGAAAAACATATAGCACTCAAATATTCGATTGAAGGGGTCGTATTGGACTCGTCCATGCAGACACTATCCTTGCAATTTATGAGATACGTGTCCGTGTGGCTCCTCCGACTTGCTAGCGGGACGGACTACAAACCAGGCAATGATTTCGCGCTCCCTCTCCCTGCTGACCAACCCGATGCTTTCAGGTGCCTCCCGGAGTATGCCCTCCAAGATGTAGTCGAGAATTTTAAGTTTATTTTCCTGTATGTATCCGCAATAGGCCTCCGAGAGCAGGTGAATACTGACTTTTATATTAGTTTCTTGCCTCAGATTTTGGTGTCTGCTGTCGGAGACGAGATCATCACTCTATGTATTGCCTTCTTGAGATCCTCGGAGTATATCAAAAATCCTTACCTCAAGTCCTCACTCGTCACCCTGTTGTTCTCTGGGACATGGCCGATATATCATCTCAGTCGGGGAGTTCTAGGTGATATTTTGGTCGGGTCCAAGTTTGCCCATGAACACCTCCTCCATTCACTCATGAAGTTTTACATTGGTAAGTTACATCGTATCGCTTTGGTTTCCACATGCTAACAGTATCAGAATGTGAGCATAGCGGTGTTAGTTCCGCATTTTACGATAAATTCAATATCCGCTACGAGATATTTCAGGTTATCAAATGCATCTGGCCGAATAGCGTATACAAAGATCAACTTAGCCGAGAAAGCAGGTTAGTTCAAACAACCCTAATCCATGAACGGCTTTGACTAAGTATGTCTAGGGTCAATCGGCAATTCTTCGTGCAATTTGTAAACCTGCTTTTAAACGACGCCACGTACTTACTAGACGAGGCATTGACTTTGCTGGTCAAGATACACGATTATCAGAAGCGATTACAAGACGATACATTAACTCCTGAAGACAAGGAGAAGGTCAGATCAGACTTAGAGTCTGCGGAACAGCAGTGCCAATCCTGGATGCAGTTAGTGAACGATACTATGGGGATGATGAAACTATTCACGGCGGCACTACGGGACGCGTTTACTATGCCCGAGATAGTAACTCGGTTGGCGGGCATGCTAAACTACAATCTGGAATCTCTAGTTGGCCCGAAACGGGGCAATCTTAAAGTGCAGGACGCCAGGAAATATCACTTCGATCCGAAGACCCTCTTGTCTGACTTCATAGACATATATATCAACCTGTCACCGAAGCCTACCTTCATCGAGGCGGTTGCTGCCGACGGTCGCTCATACAAACCGGACAACTTCAACGAAGCAACTAATGTGATGCTACGTAGTCTTCATGCGGCCCCCGAAGTTATCTCTACTTGGAAATCTCTAGTAGAACAGTTTGCCGAAGCTAAGCAACGTCTGGATCAAGCCGAACTCGACCTAGGCGAAGTGCCTGATGAATTTGAGGATCCTTTGATGGGTGATCTGATGACCGATCCGGTCATCCTCCCGTCGCATAATATCGTCGATCGGTCGACTATTGTGCAGCAATTGCTCTCTAACCCGCGAGATCCCTTCACTCGGAAGCCTATGACTATCGACGATGTGATACCAGCTAATGATCTGCGCGCTCGGATCGAGGAATGGAAAGCGGAGCGGATAGCAGCTGCTAGAGCCAAGATATCAGAAGAGAACGCCATGGATACAACGGCAGGCTAAAGGGGTTCTGCGTAAGTTCCGCAAGTTTTGTACTACCAAATTACGAGGAATGATATGATCATCCAAAGGCGTAGCAAAAATGGATGATCTTGAGGGGGGCTATGAATAGAGAACAGTTATGCGTTTCTCTTGGACCGCAAAGGGTCTACAATGGCCCGTTCCAGGCCCATTCCGTTTATATCCGGTTTGCTTGTGGGTTAGCTTCGCAAATCAATGATAGACTAGTCACTATGGCAGTTAAGTGGCCATGAAGTTCGTTCGCCAATGCTTTTAACATTAGGGTTAATAAAGGTGCATTGATACCCCTCCCTCCGTTGTTCTTCTTTAGCTGGCTTAGATGACAAAACTTAATCATCAAGCAGTTCCTTAACCGCTATAGTACAAATATGGTCTTCGGTGAAATCCTAAGCACCTAGGTGTGTTATTCAATTCCGGCATTTTCGAGTTAAGTGACCAAAAGATGGGTATGAAAACCTGCATAACCCAAAAGGTGCCCAGGCCGGGTCTGCCGCTTCGATCTTAGGTGTAGGCTTCCATTGCGGCACAGCAGAAAGCTGCGGACCACGACATCCTCAAGTGCCAACAAGACACCGTGGAGTAAACTTGAAATCAGGATCATTTGATTGGGCACATCGGACTTCAATGAATCCTGATTGGACAGATATTGATAAGCTATTCCACCGTGTTGAGCTGGCGCTTATGGACATAAAACGGTCGAATGCGTAGGTACTTTAAATCCCAGTCTGTATACCCTAGGTTACGTAGATTTGTAATATATAAATCAAGCCAGTTCTCCTCCCGTCCAGTTTATACGGAGCTCTTTTTACTTCATCTTTGACGTTAGATCGTAGATATTAGACCAAATCTTGACAGGGGCTCAAACGATCAATACTGTAGACATAGTTTTCATTTCTCAATTCAGCCCAAACATCAGTATAAGATTAGGTACCTACCCTTAGATACCAGGTAACCTAGGTCCCGACACCACCGCCGTACTCGTCATGGCAGACGATATACGACAAGTCCTGCAGAAGACGATCGACACGTTCCTGGCGAACAACGACCTCGGGGTGAAGAACAAGGACCCGTCGCTGTTCTCGGCGGTCCTGACGGAGGACTGCGTGCGCACGTACCGGCCGACGTCGTTCGTCGAGCGGTACGCGCGGTTCTTCAAGCCGCGGCTGACGAACGCGGACTACGAGGCGCAGATGCGCGTCGAGCTGCTGACGATGGAGGCCGTGTCGCACACGGCCACCAGGACCACCATCGACACGGCCCGGCGCCAGGCCACGCTGTGGACCGAGCAGACCGTCAGCACGACCGACGGCGCCGTCACCAAGATCGAGCTCATCTTCGACCTGAGCTTCTCCGAGGACGGCACCCGCGTCTCCCAGATCTTGGTGTTCGTCGATACGTACGAGGCCTCGAAGATCCTGGAGAAGATGCTGGCTGAGGCGGGCGGTGCTGGTGGTGCCCACTAATTTTGGGAGGGGGGGAGATCCTATGTAGTGACTTCTTGATCCTGACATGTTCTTCGGTACCTACTCGCGGAATGAATACGCGGGTTTGGTACGCGGATTTGATATATATATGTGTGTGTATTAGAGGTACCTACCTAGGTTAGGTACCTACCAGGTACATACATAAGTTATACTAGTGCGATGACGACCAATCGACGTACTGATAGTTGGCCAATATTATACATATATGATATTCGATTTGATTTGTAATTCTGATTTGTAATTATACCTAGAAATGCCATGCAGTCGATCTATATATAACTTCCCAGCGCATGGGCGGACGTTGGGTCTATGTAGAAGTCAGGGGCTAAGATCTTGAAAAAAAGATAACCCCTTTCCTCACCCCCCTTTTTCTCTTTTCTTTTTCCCCGTTCAATCAAGGCAGTATTTAGGTAGATATCCAACCACCCAACCGGATTTCTTCAGGCAGGAATCTCAAGCAGGCTCTTCACCGTGTCGACGGCCGACTTCTCGAGGGGTATCCAATCGATGCCCAGGACCTTGGTGGCGCGGGAGTTATCGTAGCCGAACACCTGCGCGGGCTTCTCCGCGCCGGGGGCGAGCCTGACGTTGTCGCCGGGCAATTTCCCGGCGGCCGCCAGGTCGGGGAGCCCGTCGCGCACAACGCGGGCGATGCGCGCGTTGTCGTAGTACCCGGCGGTGGTGAAGAAGCGCTGGCCGCCGGCCTCGGGGATCTCCATGGCGCGGAGGTGGGCGAGGGCGACGTCGCGGACGTCGACCCACAGGAACACGCCCGAGGCCGGGATCTCGTCGTTCCACTTGCCCTGCATCAGGTCGACGAACCGCTGGTCGCTCGTGTTGATGTCCCGCAGGGAGTCGAGGTGGTGCGCCACGGGGCCGAAGACCATCGGCGGGCAGATCGTCGCCAGGTCGAAGCCCGGCTTCTCCTGCTCGACGAAGTCCCACGCCGCCTTTTCCGCGCACTTCTTCGACACCCGGTAGGATGTCGGTGGGGGGCCTTTGAGTCCGTCCTCGTACCTGAATTTTTAAATTTAGTCCTCTGGTATTCGCTTGGGGAGAAATACTGCCAGTTGTCCGACTCACGTGCTTGGGTTCCAGTCTGCTTCGCTAAAGACCGTCGTGGGGTCGTTCATCTTGGCCTCGGATATGATGGCGGCGAAGGAGCTCGTGACGACGACGCGCTTGACGCTAGGCGCATGCTTGGCGATGGCCTGGAGTATGCCCTTGGTGCCGTTGATAGCCGGGTCTAGCAGCTCCGTGCGAGCGTCCGAGAACTTGAAGTGGAAGGGGGACGCCGTGTGCTGCACGTAGTCGATCCCGGGGTTGTTCGCTATCACCTCGTCGAAGGCGTTGGGCACCGCGATGTTCGGCACAATGGCTACCGAGAGCTTCGCGCCGGGGTATTTGGCGCGGATCTGGGAGGCCTTGGTCTCGGAGCGCACCGTCGTTAACACCTCGTACCCCCTCTTGAGCAGAAGCTCGAGGACGTGGGCTGGGAGAATTCGTCTATGTTAGTGGTGGATTTCGTGGGATTACCCTAGGTAGTTGCACGGGGCGTAACTCACCGGCAATAAATCCGGAACCGCCTGTTAATAGAACCTTAGGCATTTTAAGAGTTTATTTTCGTGTTTCTTCTATGATAGATTTTTATTAAGTGGGATATCTGAGTGATAGATGTCTAAAGGTATGGTGTCGATGAGGGAAGACTGCCTTTTGAACCTGCTTGAAGTTTTCTACCCTCAAGGTCGAACTATGAACCTATATATATTAGGTATGCTTCAGGAACTATCTCGATAACCCCACCAATCTATATTCATCCGCGGGTGATTAATGGAACTTATGGCAACATCGCGGGGTTTCCACAGTAAATAGCGACGTCACTACGCAAGTCAAGTTTAGTTCACTCCACCAAATCTTTTCGGGAATAGTATTATCGGATCAACACCTAACGAGAAGGAGCCACAGCCGTGAAATAATGATAACATGCATCGGTGTGAGTCATGAATAAAGGGGTGTACCTAGGTAGATTCTCCGGCTCTTAAAGATATCCGAAATTATCTTCACCCGTCTTCCATGGAGAAGCTTCCGGAGTAGGTCTTAAGGTAAAGGCCGAAATAAGTCCAGCGGGGGCCTCAGTTAAGGCCCCGGCCTAATCGGCGTCGTATTTCTGTTATTAGCCCTTCGGCGTTTACAAGCCGGCAAGTCTCGTATTATAACCGTAAATTTTCACCGTAGTTAATCTCCGCCTTGGAACCTTTTAACCATCTATCTCCATCTGTATCGTCGCATGTGAGAACGAATGAACGACATCAATGCCCTCACTACCCTGGCTACTACCCTATAACAATAAGTATGATTATCAGGTGAGTACTCAAAAGTAACAGCTATTTGTTTCTATAAGTTGTATTTCTAAGCACGGAAGAAACACTATCACAAGCAAATACACTATATCGAGTCATCGTACACGCAACGGTTTACTGAATTGTGGAGTAATGGTACTATGTATGAGAGCCCGGAATTAACATGGTGTTATGGTATTTCCGAATCTAACAAAGCTCGTTTGAACATGCGAAATATGCCTGTATATTTTTCTCCGAAGTATGTAAAATGAATGCTGTGTTTCTAGTTTCAAGAGGTTACATATCTAAGGTATCTAGGTAAATTTTGAATACGACTTCCACGATCAACTGCAGGAACAAATAAGATGTGTATCTCTTATTCTCTTTCACGGCAGCAATTAAGCAAGAAGACAGGTTTTAACTGATATAAGTCACCAGATATGTTTTCAATAACCTATCAATCATGGAAACAGCATACAGCTCTGATGTTTCCGTATAGGAAACCTTAGGCATCTATTACTTACCAGTTACATAAACTACCTTTTATACTGTTATTAAACCCGCCTGTTATAATTATATAAAGGTATGTGGCTATATGGTGGTCTTCAAAGAAAAGAAAGTCGCGCAATACCTCAACTAATCACAAAATCAAGCACCGCGCCCTGCCGATACTTAAAGAAGAAGAAGCAGAAAGTAAAGAAAGGAGTAACCAGTCTTCAATTTAATATGTCCGGTCAAAAGCGCACGCCTCTAGACCCCACCGCGACAAAAATTGTTGAGGATATCTTCTCTCAATTCCAAAAAGACATCGATCTTTTCGAAAGCTCTACGCAGGATCTCCTTGGATACGCTAAATACTATTATTGTGACATGGGTAGTAAAATGAATCGTGACACCTTCATGCTACTTATAAATGCACTACAAAGCCAGAAGGAGCACATGACAAGGATGTTGGAGAGGGTGCTAGACATGATGTCGCAACCTTTCTTGCCGTGTAAGGATCGCCAGTGGAGATGAGGAAAGGAGCGGTACGGTGGAACGAGCGAGCGGTGTGTGAGAGGCTTCTAGAGGACATGTAGCTAGGGGATGGATGGTAACCGATTCAGACAAGGAGATTCCAGTAGTGGTAGCTTCAGAATTGCTATTTAAATAGATTGACTTGTAGTAATTTTCACAATGGACATATTCTACTTGTCTTAACTGATTTAAATACCAAGGAGTCGTGTCTACGTAATTAAGAAGGTAATGGCTATATTGGATACTAGTAAGACTCTACTTAGACGGGAGTCGGGAGGAATAGATTATATCGCGATTCACTTTCCTCGTATTTCATTCAACCTTGGGATTCTTCAATGTCCAAGCTAAACACCTAAATATACAGCCTGAGACCTAGGTTGAGACAGTTACTTCTAGGTACGTTCGATGGTACAGTTCCATTTCATCGACCAAGCGAAAATCCGAAGACTATGCAACATGCAATAGAGAGGAAGGCATAGACAAGTACCTGTCCCTCTCTCACAACTAACTCCTCGCTACCTACCTTTATGAACAATTCCCAATTCCCAATTTCCCGACGACACGCTAATAGCTAAAAAGCAATCATTCAGAGCTCGGGGGCATTGGTACCATTCTTATCGTGGTGAATCAAAAGCTTAATCCCCTTATCCGCCGCGGAATCCCTCCAAGCGGTAACCATCAATCTCCCCGGCACGAACCCCTTGGTACGCACCACCGCCTTCCCCGAGTGGAACTCGTACGTGAGCACGAACCACTCGAGCTGGCCGTCCGTAAGCACGTACTGGCAGACGCGGGCGAACAGCAGCCCCGGCATGCGGCGGGCGGCGCGGCCGACAGCGACGAGGACGTTGTGCACGGAGGCGAGGGCCTCGACGCGGCTGGCGACGCGCAGGTACGGCGCCTTCATCATGTACGAGTTGCGGATGTTCAGCCGCTTCAGGCGGGCCCAGAACGGCGCCTCCTGGCTCTTGGGCGGCGCCGCCTCGGCCGGCATCATCCCCGGGCCCAGGATGAACGGCGTGAAGAACTGCACCGCGTCGACGCAGTCGTCGAACTCGAACGACTCGCACTGCTGGCTGAACGCCCGCATGTGCGCGTGGAAGGACGACCACGGCTGCTTCAGCGGCGCGGGGACCGGCGTCAGCATCGGGCTTGGCCGCCGCAGGCTGAGGACTCGCACTGTTTCGGCGTATTGGAGGCCCAGAGCGAAGCCTGATTACGCGTGTGCGTGTCCACGGTTAGTAGGAGAAGATTTCATCATAACACCGTCAATGTGACGGCTCGATCAAGGTTATGCTGGATGGAGGAGAAGGATAAAAAAAAAAAAAAAAGGGGGGGGGGGGGATAAAAAAAATAATAAAAACCCCGAAATAGTAAATGACACCACTAACTGTTTCTCTGTTTGACATCTCGGTGGCGTATCGAGTCATGGTTAAGCTCGACGTCTAAATACTCCAACGTCTGGAGCTTAGACACGATAGCTAGGACAGACGTCGGTTGCAGGTGTCTCCCCGTGCACCGGAAGCCGCTGAAGATGTCGATATGCGGCAGCGAGACAGCCTCGAGGTCGAGTTTCAGGTACGACGTCAGAGCCCTCCCTGTCACGAGGGGTCCCCCGTTCCTACCGACCAAAGTCGACGTATCGCTCGGCGAGTCGACGAGAAGGTGAAGATCGAGGCCGAGGGGGGACGTATCGCTCTTCTCCCACTTTGTCATCACCCTGAAGAAAGTCCCTAGAGCCGCGGTTAGGATCTCGGTGCTCCGGTGCCTCTCCGCGGAGGTTTCCTGCTCGTCGTCGAGGTGGGGTTCGTACTTGTCGAGCGAGACGTGGAAGCAGATGGTCTGCACGACCGCCCTGCGCCGCGGCGAAGTGACGATCTGGCAGAAGGACTTGAGCCGCTTCGGGGTCACGTGGATGACCTTGAAGGTGATGGGTTCGACGAATTCCTCCTGCCACTCCCTGGACACCGTTGCGTAATGCGCGATGGACGGGGCTGGCCCTTTTCGCCAGCCGTAAGAGTTAGTCTGCCGCGCCACAAGAGAATATATCGTTTGGCGTACCTCGTACGGTAACGAGTTCAGTGACGGCTTTCCAGCCATGGTTGCGATGGTGATTAGAAAAAAGGGGCAAAAGCCATAATACCTCCGGTAGTAGTAGAAGGTTTACAGAGAGCCGGTAGTATGTAGGGGGAACTAGATTTAAATGGACAAGGGGCGTATGTATTGTATGGATTGTCCTCGAAGGGGGAGCGGCATCTTCAAGAATCCCATGCTGGGGTAGATGGGATTTTGGATTTTGCCACGCGGGCCCCTCATTTGGAGAATTTCGTGCATGTGGTAGGTACCTCTCATTCCTAATTCCCGGATCCTCTCTGGGACGTTTGAGTTGCCACGGAACCAGCGCGCACCTTTTTCTAGACCGGTCGGAAGCAACCGGTGAACTACTCAAGTGCCGGGAACCACTCAGGAGGTGATACAGGTAGAACAGCTAGCCCAAATTAATCCTTCGCCTCAAAAAAAGATGAGCTATCTTTTTTATCGAGTTTACACTGGACAAGAAAGGAAGTTAAGGGATAGTAAGCACGTTTCCTCTTAATGTTGCCATATTAAGTAGAGGCGACTTTTCATGTTACTCGTAGTCCCGAAGACACGACATCCCCCACTCAAAGTCTCCTGAAGAAGAGGACAAAAGATTTTTACATAATATTTTAACAACAGGTATCTTAGGTATGTACCTAAGGTATTAGATGATAAAAAGATATTTTCATCGTAACTCGAATCCCTAAGCCACAACAGAGTTGAAATACTTGCATTGGTATGCCGCTAGGTAACTCTGAAGTTGATTAATAAACTTTGATGCTGAGGCAATGTAAGAAAGAGAATTTCTACATAGGCTAATCGGTTGGTTATGAGGCTGCCCGAGTGGGACGGCTCGTCGCTCGGAGTGGCAAAAGCGCAATACCTTTTTACTCCGCTTCACCTTTGATGCCGGGAGATAGCTTCCGGCATGCGATCTTTCAAACACCTAACTTGGCTTAACGTATTTGTTTCTATGGGTTCGCTGAGGACTTCATCTTAAACTTTTAAAGCCGTAAGATGTTATAGTTATCCCATAGTTAATGTAAAAGATAGACATGATATAATTGCTCGAAGGTTTCATGAGATTGCTTTCACTCGTTTATCCCTAAATAATCAAATCTCGCAGCACGCTTTAAACTTACCTGGTATATACCTGTTACCTTCAATATAGGTACCTAACCATAATGTGTGAGACGGCGGCAGAAGCACACGAGACGAATAGCCACACTACTATAACATAGTGCATTGCCGATAGCGAGAATTAAGTGGTTGGAAGTACGATTGATACCTTTCGCGCCTTTTAAGATATATACCTGTCACGGTCCCTGATAAGTCAAAAGCAATCAAAACTCCGATACCTTAGGTTAGGTAGGTATCAACTACATGCAAAATATTATTTCCGGCATACCTCAACCAAGCAGCCGGAAGAAGCGCCTTTCCGAATCCGTATATGCAGCTACGAGACGGGGCGGGGTCTATCTACATCATGGATGGGATTTTCAAAACATTCTGATAAGAGCTTTGCTGTTTTCCTACTTACCTATAGGTACCTAACGTGAACCCCCCGCCAGGACCCGTAAGTAACCAACGGGAATGGTCGGGAACCTGCCGATCCTCCAACTGGATCCTCGCAACTGACACCCTCATGCTTCTTATGCCCAGGCCGGTGAAGGACGAAAAAGCTGCAATGCGACGTCGGTTTGCTGTAAGGCAGCATCCGAAGGAAACTGCCAAGAAAACGCGGAAGGCAACAGCCCACGAGAGCTTGCACCAAGATAAGATATCATCTCCCGGTTCGGCTGGGAGAGGAGGGAGAGGGAGATAGATAGATAGATACCTATACCAATCGATAACGTGTGCGTGTATAGGTTAGAGTTAGGGGATAGATATAAACCGCGGGCAGCCGTCATGGGATAGTGATGCGGGAAGCCGGGGGGAAGACAACACTTCTCACACCCCCTAAAACCCACCACCCAGTCGGAGCTTAAAGATGGCCTTTTCCGACTCGAACCCTCGAGGTAGTATATGGCTCCTTTTATGCGCGTGTTTAATAGTACCTATTAAGGTACTGGAATTGGCATTGGCGAGCCCCATGAAACGGGCCCCTCTCGAACACCTGCAGACCACACGACACGGCGACGTCGCGTTCGGCCTTGGCGACAGGACCTACCTGGCCAACATCCGACACCCCAAGCAGACGATCCTCCTCGGCGGAGACGGTCGGGCCACGGCGAGCCGGCAAGGCTCGCTGGTGCCGTTCACCGCGGTATTCACCGACAGAGAAGTCGTGACTGCCGATTCCTTGCGGGCTGTGATCGAGAGCTACTTATCAGCGGGCGACGACGTGTTTTCCGAGGACTTCTTGGAGGGGATATACATCGGGAAAAATGGCACGAGCGACGGCAGCAGCTATACAAGAACAACAACAGCAACAACCCTCGATGCGAGCGCGCTGGAATACCTAAACAACCTCGCACCGCAGCATCTAATCTTAGACGCCGGTTTCGAAAGCATTGGCTGCTGTAAGTTTTGGCGGGATAACATCCCGATTCTAGCGTGGCATGGCCCTATAAATGAGAAGTTCGCAAACAAGGCGGCAAATTCTCAAGAATTAACTACCTGCCTGCCTACCTACCTTACCTACCTCTATCTATCAACTAACTAGTATTTATCAAGACCCCACAGACATCGTAGTAACCTACCTCGGGGATTCAGACACCACTAGCCGCCTCACCCTCCCCGCCGGTCCGTACGCAGCGCTGGTCTCGGAGGACTCGATCACGCTCGGAGCAGTGTACCGCCTGCACCGGGACTCGCATCGGGACTTCCTGTACGGCGCGTACGACTCCGGCGACGGGCACGGCACCTTCGCCCCCGTGGAGCTCTTCCAGCCGCGCTCCTGGGAGCCGCTGATCCCCGTGCCCTCGCGCATCCACAGCTGGGGCGACCCGCGGCCGCTCGCGGGGCTCCGGGTCGCGATCAAGGACCTGTTCGACGTGAAGGGCCTGGCCACGTCGGGCGGCAGCCGGGCGTGGGCGTCGATCGCCGGCGGGGCCGCGAACGAGACGGCGCCGTGCGTCCGGCGCATCGTCGACGACCTCGGCGCCGTCCTGGTCGGCAAGTACAAGCTGGCGCAGTTCGCGTCGGGCGCGGACCCGTGGGGCTGGCAGGACGCGCACTACCCGTTCAACCCGCGCGGCGACGGGTGGCTCACGTGCTCGGCGTCGTCGTCGGGCGGCGGGTGCGCGGTGGCCGCGTACGCCTGGCTCGACTTCGCGATCGGCTCCGACACCGGGTCGTCCATGAGGCGGCCCGCGGCCGTCTCGGGCACGTACGGGAACCGGCCGAGCCAGGGGCTCATGACGCTCTCGGGGGTCATGCCGCTGGGCGCGGCGACCGACACCGCGGGGATATTCGCCCGGAGCGTGCGCGACTGGGTGCGCTTCGCCAAGAGCTGGTACGTCCCTGAGATGTACCAGGACGCTTCGATCACGGGGCTGAGCCCCCTCGACGCGCCCGACTCGTACGCCTTCCCGAAGCGCGTCTTGTACCTCACAGACTATCTGCCGCTGAGGAACCCTGCCGCGGAAGAGGTGCTTCAGGGGTTCATCCGGAACCTTACCGCGGTCTTCGGGATGACGGTCGAGGAGTTCAATTTGACGGCCGTTGTTGCTAACACGACGGACGAGGTGCCGAAATACGCCGCTCTGAATAACGCGACGGCCGTGATTAATACCATGACGCAGTACCGCCAGGTAGGCAAGCCCCTGATCTCAGCGTGGGCGGAACGGTACGAGGGGCGATTCCCACCCATCGATCCGGCCCAGCGGCAGAGATGGAAAGCGTACGACGAATCTGTGTATACCGACGAGTTGTACAACCGATCCCTGCGGGTTAAGCGCGCGGCCGTGGACTGGTTCGAATCGACGATACTGTACTCGACGCCGGAGTCGTGCAGCGAGAGCATCATGCTGTGGGACATCGGCACGGGCGGGCTGCCGAGCTATCGGGAGGAGTCCCTAAACCGCGATCCCAACACGACGACCTTCCTAGCCGTGACCCCGTCGACCGCGGGCATCAACGGGGCCAGCCTGTGCCCCATCTACGGGTGCGTGGACATGACGATTCCCATCGGGCAGGTCCCATATCTGAGCAACGTGACGTTCGTGGAGGAGATGATCCCGGTGACGGTCAGCGTCGTTGCGAGGAGAGGCTGCGACTTTATGCTGTGGAACATGTGGCAGAAGCTTGCGGACGAGGGGGTGCTGAAGACTATTAAGACCGGAAGGACTGCGTTTTGAGCAGAAGTTTGCAAAGCGCTTGTTAACTCTATTTGTCACCTACCTACCTACCTAGGTACCTAATCTAAGTAGGTATATCAGACATATATCTACACGTAAGTCGGCGCCGCAAGAAAAAGGTTCTCCATACACCACGTCATGATCCCTAGGTACTCCATGCAATGCAACGTAGTTGGCCTAAGAAGGTAGTGGAATGCGATAAGGCCCCCAATCTCTTTCTTTTTTTTTCCTGGCTTGACGCCACAATAATAGCCTATCGGTGTTCTGCCGCATTCACATGCAAGATATTCAAGGATCGAAGATGGCAATTTTCTTCTCTACCTTCCTATGCTAAAGCAAGTTTTGGCCCTAGAATCACCAGGCAGGCAAAGAGACAACGTCGACATCGACATAGACAACACCTACCTCTAGGTGCCTATTTATCCGTTCGTACGCTTGGGTTACTTTACTTTACCCAATGCATTGAATTTTAGATTATGCAGAAACGTCTTCGGCCTCCTTGTTTACACTATCGCCTTGTCTCAGCCTATCTTGTAAGTTAATATTTAGTCACATGAAACAGTTTTAGGGAGAGTAAAAAAATAAAAATGTCCAATTTCATCCCGAAGGATGCAGACTTGCATCACTCCTTACGACTATTTTAACCTAATATAGGCAACTGGGTATTGCATTGTACGCAACTTGAGGCAGATTTATGTATATTTAGGCTTTCACAGGCAGCATTCGAACCTTGAAAGGGCTTGGTTATCTACCTGTACCTGGTAACTTTTGTAGCAAGAAAACTTGAACGAATAAGAAATCAGCCGCCACTTAAATAAAGCATGCTCGCTGCCTCTCTAATGCTGCCTCTCTAATGCTGATCATTTCCCAAGCTTTTTTATTTTTCAACGCCATGTCGTCAATCATTTCAAACATCTACAATATATGCTTAGACCTAGGCATGTACGATAGATATAACTAATGCAATGGCGAACATGTATTTTCTTTACATCAAAGAACCCCGTCGCTTAAAATACATATATTTATCCAACCTATCTTGACTACTTCAAACAATAAGGCACCTAGCAATACTGTATGATGCTAGGTAGTCAGTCCCGTAACCCAACTTTTTTCCACCTCCAACGCCCATATCATCAGTTACAGATGACATTTTGCAACAATAATACAAGACACGTTTCTACCGTGGTAATAGCACAAAACCTAGAAGCCCTCACCACCCTAACCAAACAAAAGAAATCCAAATCCTTCCCTGCTCTCGATACACCATCTCAATTACATCACCGACTTCTCTCGCTCATTCCCTTCTAGGGTTGGCTATACCCATCCAGCTTAACCAACTGAAAGGGGTGGTCGGATCTCCGTAAAAAGCATTACGTTCCGTATCGTTAAGGGACAGTCGGGACATCGTCAAAGTTGATCTAGGCCGTGGCATGGAACCAGGTCCTGAAAGAAAAACGCTTCGCTTGCCCTACGTGCGGGTTAAAAGGGGACCCCGGTATCCGGCATTAAAAAATGCAGAGACAACAAATGAGAAAATATAATAAATAGTACAAGAGCAGGTCGGAGGCTCGTAACGGGATTATGAAGGATATTAACTAGGCCAAAATATGTGCCGAGAACTTCCGCGAAGCATTCGTCAGGAGAATTGGAATTATATGGATTACATATGGTGGCGAGTTTGACTGATCACATTTCGTTGATTCTGTCGCTAGGCATTTGCATTGACGGGTCGCCAAGATCCGGCTTGAAGGCCCATGGAAAACCTCCGAGCCCGAAAGTCCGTAGGTCAAAAACGGGAGAAACCACGGCTGGTGGTTGATAGGGCGTTGGTAGTTGCTCGGCCGCTGGGTAAATCCACTCGTTTTCGTGTTTTGGTGGCGACTGATCATACCCTGGGGATTGGACCTGCTGTATTGGCGCGGCTTGGGGCTGGACCTGCTGCATAGGGGACGGCCGAGGTTGAAGGTGTTGTCTGGGTGAAACCTGACTTTGCAGCGATGAAGAATGGTCTGGTTGTGGCACTTGCTGAAAAAAGTGCATCTTTGGCGGATACACAGCAGGCGTTGAACCCAGTGAATACGCCGTCGTATGCGGGGGCACACGCCCGTAGTAGCCGCCTTGACTTGACGGGCTAGGACCTGGAACCGGAGTAGTAAACCCGCCATGACTATTTTGGATTGGGTTGACCATATCAGGCACAGCGTATGGATTTTCCAACGATGGCTGCTCAGATTGTTGCTTAGGCATTCGACACTGCTGCATTGGATCCGTATTCAATGTCGCAATGCCAGGGTTGTCCTGCTCCGGCACATAGCGATAACAATCGGGGATGCCAGCCGGGTTCCCATACATTGAAGCGCCAGGCAACTCCATGGGTTGGACCGAGTCGCTTTGCCGGACCGAATTGCTTTGCCATCCATTAATAGTGGGGAATCTACCATGTTGGCCGCCATATTGCGACATGAAGTACGGATGTACGTCACCGAAAGGCGACATTCCTTGAGCAGCTTGCTGCTCAGCATTCGGTGGTCCGCCTGGTGCCTGGCTGGCCGACCACGAGCCTCGCTCTTCAGGAGTAGGTGGGTTTCCGCCGTCATCCGATTCGGAGAAGTCATTAGTCTCAGCATTTGCACCCCTCTGGTGGGAACGTCGTTGATGTTTAACCATGGTTGTCTTCCGGCAGAAACTGCGAAAGCGTTAGCAAGTATCTCTCTAAAGGTGATAACACTCGCCATACCTCTTGAAGCAGCCGTCATGAGCGCACTTGTAAGGTCGCTTGCCAGTATGGATGCGGCGATGTCGAGCCAAACTCGAAGACTGAAAAGGTTAGCAAGTCTGGCGAATACTGTCAAGTCCGATAATGCTCTTACATCCGAGAAGCTCTTGCCGCAGCCTAGGTGCTGGCAGTGATGGGGCTTCTCGCCGGTGTGGGTGCGGATGTGGACCTTCAAGGCGCTTCGTTGTATAAAGCTTTTGCCGCAAACTTTTCCGCCTTTTTCCCAGGTACAGTCGAACTGCCGGTCATTTGTATGGATGCGATAGTGCCTTTGAAGGTCAGATTTACGATTGAAACTCTGCAATCGTGTCAGCGACGGTAACGGCGGTGCATAGTCGGGGAACGACAGCACATACCTTGAAACACGAATTCCAATCACACTTGAAAGGCCGAGAAGTCGGCTCGTTATCGACGATCTCCATCACCTCCATAACTCTGGTGATCCCAAGATCCAGGATCCGATTACTTATCTGTAGCAGTGCAAGTTTGTGCGAACGAGACTACTTATATGTCTTCTAGTCCGAGCTAAGGAATACAAGGTATATGGAGTGATGTGGAACCGGACCTAGGAGAGTCCGTTGAGCCAGGTGAGAACTTCAAATTGAAATGAACCTATCATAATATAATAAATATTAGGTCCCTTCGACGAATTATCTCGGGTGTGTCTACCAAATAGGTTGATGGTTGCGAAGTTGAGGATGAACCGAAGAAAAAAAAAAAGTTGGTATCAAACTGTCGTTTAGAATAATATTAAGATATGACAAAAAGGTCTGGTAAACGTAATGTGCAAGAGTGTGAATTGAATGATCTTCGGGGGGGATACGAATAGGTAATCGAGAAGCAACGGTTAACGGCAAGGGTAAGCATCTTTTTATTTTGGCTTCAAACGTTGATTCTCAGCTACTTACGACGCCTGTCATTATAAGAAAGCTAACCTACATATAGATATCAGGTACCTGAGAAGGAGGCTTGCCACTTGCTATCGGCATCAATAAGTCCCCGGCTACCAGCCAAGGAACTGCTGACTCCCCAAATTCGTATGCAGATGGCAGCTCCACAAACTGGTAGAGACGCATTGTACAATTTACAATTACAATATACCTATACGTAGGGGAGAAGGGGGTCCGAAAGAGAATAAACTAGGTTAACTTACCAGGGATCAGGGATCATGGATTAATACGTAGAAGAAGAGAAAGGGAATTTACTAGGTTCCGGGGGTTAGAATTATACCATGGAAATGCATTAACAGCGGGTTCTAACAATTGAACGACATGGGTGGAGTGAATAAAAAGTACCTACGTGCTACGTGCTGCGTACAATACAATGGGTACAATAAGAGGAAAGCGAGAAAGCGAAAGATTAGAAGCCCTTGTCATTTGCGAAACGCGTTAATAGAATACCTCCTCTACGTACCTTACCTTAGGTACCTCTAAAACCACCTAAGTTCAAACACAAAGTTACCTAATGGATTGGGCATATTTATATAGGTACCTATTCTCTTTAATACCGGAGTTTAGGTAGCCGTTCTTGAATACCCTCGAACGCGGAGAAGTCAGTCCTTATTCTACTTCTGAAAATCGACAAACAAATTAATTCAATTGTTCGCGCCGTTTTTTTTTCTCTTTTTTTTCTTTCTTTTTTCTTCTTTCCCCGGGATTTTGTCAATTGGTTTCAGATAGCGTCGGCAAATGTATGCACTTCTAATATTCATTAATGCGAATTATTTGAGCTTCTCCAGCCAATGATAAATGGCGGGACGACGTCCTCCTCATCGTGAAAGTCGCCGCACAAACGTTCGATCTTAAGTTAGGTACATACAGATTGAGCAATCTTGTTTGCCCGTGCAACGTACCAAAAGCAAGTAAGAACGGGCGTTATGGGGCTTCAATTAAGTATAAAATAATTAGTACCTAAGTAAGGTTAGGTACCTCCTACCGTATAATAATACCTAACGTTAGGTATTGTAGGAGTTAGCTAAGGCCAACGACGCGGGGAGAAGAGGGGTAGTTGGGTATCGTGTAGACAGGAACCAGCACGATATTGGCCTGCTACTACCTATAGTTACCTATAGTTATTATTGCACGCTGTTATAGCGAAGGACTTGTTTGAAAATGAGATTAATAGTGACGGTGACGGTGATTGATCAACCTACGTAGTCTTAATTGATCATACTAAACAACAATTCCTACATTTCTTTTTCCTTTCACAAGCTTTTTGATAACTTCTTCTTGGTTACACCCACCATACATAGAGAGAGAAAGAACCGGGACGGCGTTCCGAAGTCGTGGTATCACGCAAATAGGCCAGTGACCTCGATCCGGATGGTGGTTTCAGGGGAATTGTCGACACTCAACCTCAAATCGCCACTCGCTTTTTCAATGTACATTTCCTAAAGTGACAACCAGTCCCATTGTTTCAGATGCCCGAGCCGCTTATTCACACAGGGTCTTCCTTGCTACTGACTTTTACCTTTTCAACTACTAATGTGAAGAATCGTATTATACCTATTGATTGAACATCTCTTAAGCTAACTACCTACCTAAGGTACCTACCTAGAGGTATTGATATAATGATATATCGATACGATAGCTACCTAGACCTATATCAGGTAGGTCGTTAAGGTTAAGCCTCCTCCTCACCGATGAAGTTGCGTATTCCTTGCCTATAACAGCGCCCAATATCTATAACGGCTGGCTCAGATTTGATCAACCAGGAAGACTACGCCATACCTTAATTCTTCACAGGGGGAGGGACTGGAAAGCTCCCGGGACAATGGACCAAAAAATCTATCCAATGAACCCCTTCGTTTCGAAACATGTTGACTTCTACACCTTCTACACACATACAGGTAAAGGTAACCCTTAACAACGGCTAATAGGAAAACATGGGACATACGCGTTAGCTTTGCAGGTCGTAGCTTGTAATCTGTAGGACTATAAGCCGGTATGCAGCCCTTCGCCCGCAGCCATGCACGTTATACGGCAGCCCACACCACCTGCATTGCAGTCTCGCATTGCAGCTTTAATAGAGGCATTAAGCGCAAATCACATTGCCCCTCCTGCGTTGGGAACATGCAGATAGAATAAGCTCGCAGGTGGGATAGGCCCGGCTCGCATGCGATAACTCGTCTGCTATTTCCATCGCTTGCTATGCAACACCTATCTGTGTAGGTATCTTGGTAGGTAATACCTACCTAACATAAGGTGAGATGAGGTAAGGTCGCTTTTTCTGCGGAGTTGATCACGCACGTCGAATGTATACGAAGCGGTAAACGTCTCATATTCTGTCATTTTCAAGTCACAAGTACCTAAGGCAATCAATTTCTCGTTACTGCTAGTAATGAGTGACATTAATTGTATGGAACATACCTACCTAACATAGTACCTTAGCTAACCGCGTAAGCATACCTAACCTAATATTATACAATTCCTGGTACATAATATGAGGTAAGTTCCATAGTTCCAATATGAGGGACCTCGATTGCCCAAAGAGGATTCTTCCCCAAATAGGAGATGGTGGGTCTGCGCTAAAAGCCCGGAAACCACCGAGTGCATGGCCCGTAATCGGACTTCCTTGCTTAGCTTCTTTTGTTTTTCTTTTTTTTGCCAGGGCAAAAATGACAAAGTCCCATGTACCATAGTACCATCGTTAGAAAGACGTACCCACACCCTTGCAGGAGATGTCAAAATTTTGAAATGCGGACAATCAATTGGGTTTTGCGCTTGGGAAATCCCGCTTCTAGCTTCCAGTAAAGAAAAGCTTGTCGCGCTTGTCGCTTCTGTGATCGTGCCGCAAAGCCGCGTGGAAGTCAAGGTTAACCCAGACAAGGGTTTATCTTACTCACATTACGCTTTCCGAAGGTAAATCGTTGTTCTTTCTATCAGTTTTCAGAAAATATTGTATATTAAGTACCTACCTTAGGTATGTAGTACAAGGTTATAAGTGACAAAGCGACAGGTCCCATTCGGCAAGTTCCATCTTACCCAGGTACAGACAGCAACGATAACAACCCCAAGGCCTGAGAAGGCTGCTAGCGCAGTAAAAATAAAGTCATCCGATAGGTGGCCAACTAGAAATGTGACTAGGGTTTACACTCCTTCATCAAGTTTCTCGCATTCAACAACCTTCATCTGTATAGAACATTGTCGTCCTTAAGATCGCAATGTAACCTTCTCTATTCGCAACGTGGAATTCCGAGTTAGACGGTCAGCTTTTGGCAGTACCAATTTGTGATAACAAAAGTTTGCTTTTATTATTAGTTAACCTGCTAACCTGTTAACCTGTTACAGGTAATCTTCTACTTGGCCAGTGCCCAGACCTTCGGGCCAAAGTCATTCCAAGAAAGGAAATGATTAAACTTAATCGAGGATTAGGCCTCCACTAATATAAGAGTCCATCCTGGTTTAAAAAAGAAAGGAAAAAAAACGTCCCTAGTGGGAGGGACCATTTTCTGCAGCAGACGTGAGAGGTAGGTACAGCGAAGAGAAAACGGTATTAACGTCGTTTATTTTCTCCACAGTTAATCGCGGCAAATGGAGTTGACTTGTGAATGCTATGCCGGCATACAGATCCCCTTCCCCTCCTAGATACCACTGTCATAATCTCTAGGTACGGAGGTAATAGTGCATTATAGCTTAGGAATTATAATCTGCATATACTACTTATGTATTAAGGACATATCTTAGGTCACGAGTAGATGGTACATTTCTCATTCCCTCATTAATCGAAATATTTGCCAGAGTGTCTGCGATTAGTTAGGGGCGCATAGTCAAAATCTAAGGCTTTGGTCCTCTTAAGACAACTCAAACTATAGTAATTCATGATTATTACCTATTCGTTCCTATGTACATTTCTTGCATTCTCCATTCGGAGTCCGACAGAAAGTTGCTAGATCTTGTTTTAAGGATAATGCAAGTTCTCTTCCCCGCATTCCCCTGACGTCCGTGCTCTCCGCATGCTTCTTCCTTTGCCGCTAGGGCTGGGGAGGAGGAGACTATGATACGAATACACTAGTAACCGTTACTTGTTACTCAAACTCGCGCTTGTTGAATACCAGGTAGCTATGTTAAGTTGTATCACCATTTTGACAATTCTACCGGCACCGGAACAAGCGTCGTATGTCCGGAGCCGACCAATACGTAATTGCATTACAAATGAAACCGCCATAAACAACATGATTTCGACCACTCCATCCCAAGTTTCACAAAAATAACTCACGATACTTGTGAGTGTATACTACTCATGAGCCACGTGACACTCATGAGCCACGTGACACTCAGTCACGTGCCTCTCATGCTCCTTCTTGAGTGATGAATGTTTGTATAAAAAAGAAACACCTCCTTTACATAGGTATCTAAATAATACACATGTCATCTCACAATACTATTTAACTTGCATTGACCAATGCCGAGGTTATCCGGATCGAAGGTGAACGAGTGGAGAGAATACGCACCGCACCGACTTTCGTGTCTGAAGTTAGGCAGATAAGGATTTCCAGATTCGTGAGCTTCTGCATACGGCGACAGCATTTGCGAGATTAACTACTAAGAGGTAAGTTAGGTATGCAGAGGAACAGGACCCGCGATGGCCCAGAGGAGCCCAGTTGAAGATTAGTTTGTATTGTACGCGTGTGTAGCAGCAGCCTCCCTCTCCACAACTATTACGAACGATGCAACGCTGAGGTGGTATCATTCGGTATACATTATGTAGTGTATTTGACATGGATCTCTCCAGCGAGTTGTTGTTGGGTTAACCAATAGGAGAATTTACAAGATACTGGACCAGGGTTCCCGAGGTGAACTAGCTTCGGTAGTTTTAGATAAATGGTAGTATTCAACGCCGAAACGAGAAAGGTGAGCTGCCGCAAAGCATTTGCCGTAACTCGCTCTTTACTATGTACGTCTCAGTTGAAATGTTTCCATTATGTTTACATTGTCGGAACCGCAATAACCACTTTCCACTTTCCACTTCTCGCGTTAGATCATTTGGGTAAGTGGTCTGAGGGACCCATCTAGACTTCTGAACCATGACGATCCCCCGCCAGAGTTGAAAACCTGGCTGATACATAGCATATTGGTGGATCTGCCTTGATTGCCTTGATGGTTATCAATATTAAGATATCTATATGGCAATGTATTGTACAATACGTATTCGTGAGGACCTCAGCAGGCTCAGCTACCTATCGCGGAGATTTCATTTGAACAATGCTAAGTTGGGAATAGTTGCGACGCAGATCATATTCGAATAGGGCCCTAAAGGACAAGACAGGTCGGCTAGAATGTTCTCGACGGGCTTTTTTACAAAGCTATCATCGGAGCTACGGACGGCTTAATATAAAAATTTCGGAGGTTAAGTTAGTACGGCGCAGGTTCTTATCTCACTATGTATGCCCAATACCAATGGATTCGGGAAAACCATGGTTAAATAACCGCACTATCACCTTCGGAGAATTATCTATCGGGCACTCAACTGCTTCCAGTAACGCCAAAAATCAGTTCCTGAAAGGGAGGCCAGCTAATCTGTTAAAGGTACCTAGTTAGGTTTAATTATCATTTTCCCAATTTGTACTTCCTTCAGTACCTAGCCCCTTTCATTCCTACATCTCCACTCGAGTTCCTAAAAAGACAATATGGACTCAGTTTCGACAGATGTATTATTGTATTAACATGATTCCTCCTGAGGAGCTTCCATCCACCATTGCTATTGAGACTTCGGAACGGAGGAATGGCAGGTCTTGGCATGAGCCGCAGGTTAAAATGCCTCGAATCATGCCTCGAATCCCAGTTGCCGGTGGTTCCGATCGCATGATCATAACTTCCTCTCTCATAATGCTACCATTTATCATATCTAAAGTTAGGTAAACTCCGTCCGAGTTACAGCATTAACATTAGTCAATGTAATACAAAATTTTGGAGCCGCAATCATAAACCTCTCTTGGTTACACAGTCGACTTGTAGACTACTTCTTTAATGCCTCGATGGGCTGGTAGAGAAAAAAAAAAAAAAAAAAAAAAAAGAGGACTTGTCGGCAAACGCTATCGCATTAAAAGTTCAACCTCGCCGAAGTTGCTTCAATAGTACCTAACCTATAGGAAAAATCTAACCTAGTATTAGAGGCCCCGCCGCTATACGCAAACCTCCACCACTATTTAAATGCAATTATTAAAGACCCACGAGTGGTTCCGCAGCCCCAATTGACAAACCCCTTTGGACAACGGTTCAGCCGCACACCACTACCCCTAACTTGGTCTTCGTCCCCGCGATCTTGTCGCGCCTGTTCGCTAATCGGGCTTACCTCACCACCTAACTTCTAGCGTTATGCTAGTATAGCCAATACAATTACACGGCATTGCCTCGCTAGCGAAGAGAAATACGAGCCCTAAATCCACTAAAACCTGACGAATCCAGGTTTACCCATGCGCTGTTGTCGTAAGCTATTCTAAGACTTGTGTTTTCCATCTGCCATCTCCCCTTAAAACGTGGCTTTTAGCCTGAAGTTCCCACGTTGCAAACCCACAGACATTAGACTAGACCAACTACCTTAGGTACCTAAGGTAGACAGCTTACAGCTGTTGCTCCCAAGAGGTAGGTATTATGACTACCTGTTAGTAGAATTCGTTAGCCGAGATTGGTATTGACAATTCGACCAGCTGAATATAGCATTGCAATAGATCAGCGGGTAGGCTGTGGGACTATCAGTGCAAAACAGGCAATTATCTCTGTAACTCGTCTTCATTTGTCAGTCATTTCCCACTCCTGAACCTTTGATCAAAGAACCCGGTTAGGATTGAGAAACCTTATCATGGAAAAAACCCCATACGTGCGCTCGCGCGCGCGCAGCGGACCGTCGAGAGAGGGTCCTGGTCTGATCTCAACGCGACACAGATCAGCAAAGCGTCGGTCCGCTTAGGAACCAAACTACCTATTAAATGACACACTGTACTGTAAATTGTCTTTATCGGATTTTATCGACTATATTGCTAAGGATTGAACGGCTCAATTTCAAGCCCTCTTACCTATTCTTCGAGCTCGGTAATAGGTATGTGTGCTCCATCTGTCTATGCTGTTTGAGAGTTGATGGATCGGCCTTGTTTCTCCAAGGGGAGTTGGGGTTTGTCATATACATAATACATAGTAAAGGAAGCTTAACGAATGTGGCTAAAACAACGAAGTTGTTACCTTATTTGTTACGAAATCCCCCCAACTTCCTGGTAACGGAAGTGATCACGTAACCTTGGTAATCCAGGTTTATGTAGGCAGACAGGCAGATAGGTAAGCCGCCACAGTAACTTCCAACAGGTAGGTGTGTAACTATTGTACAATACATATGTACTGCAGAAGCAAGGGCTCAGGAACCCGCCCTATTTTAGATGCATGTCAACAAGGGGCACCCATGGATTGCCGGCAGGGGCTTCTTCTGGGCTTGGCTGTCATACCTGTCATATATATCTCCACACTGTACGCCAGGGGATTTTCCTAAAAGAGCGTAACAAAAAAAGAAGACGCTATTTCTCCCAAGCTGATGCTAAACATACCGATAATTAGATATTTAGAGAGTCTAGTCTAAAAGTCCAACGGGGCTACCTCCTCCTTTTCTTTGTAGCGTACGATAACTAATAACTATTAACTACCTAATAGCTTATGGCGCAGCTTCGTATGAAAGCTGTCGCTCAAACAATACACACGCCAAGGTTTCTAATCAAACAAAACAGCGGATAACATTGAATGATGAAAGGTTGGTAGAGCTGGTAGAGCTGGTAGAGCAGGGCGATCGTATACCTATTAGAGTCGGCTTTGCATTGCGATAATGAGTCGTTTAAATTGTTGTTATTTAAAAAACACCCGACGTCATGATCTGCTTTACAAATCCGACTGTAGTAGTAAAACGCCGTTAACAGGTATTGTGCAAATACGGGTTTTACTAGGTACGGAGCAGCCAACCGGGAATTTGTAAGTGCATAAAACAACCAGACGGCTTATAGACCAGGACCGCAGGAAGTTTGCGACGTGTTTTGCCCTTGCAGCAGATCCATTGACCCACGTGTTCGCCCACAATGCCCTTCTCGTAACCGAAATCTTGAAAATAATGCCAACCGACTGTTGCTATTTATCGTCATCTCCATCCGATTTTTAGTTTGCGCCTACGAAATGAAATAAGATTTTCTCTTCGTCAATATCGTGACATCGTTCAGAGCAGTGTCAAATATACAAGGCCCTTTATCTTAGGTACGTAGGTACCATAGTAGATGCTTAGTCCGCTTCATATCTACCCATCTCACGATGTAACACTGGAGCGTGTGCAATTTACCAGGATAGCAGTTAGTGTACTATGTATGGGCTCATAACAGGGGTCGTGCAGCAGTAAACAGGTACAATACGATATGAAAATATACTACCTATGTACGTAACTTCATCATGTAGACTACTCCGAAGAGGGCTACTGCATAGGTGACCTTTATACATACTATGTATTCGTAGTATGTAAATATATAAGAGATATAGTATACAACAAATTGCTAGGATAAGAGCTTGTTTATCAATTCCTAGTAAGAACAGGTAACTAAACCGTTTATATTCGAATATGGTTGAAACATTCTTCAGGTACCCTTAGGATATCTGAAACATTCCTAAACCGAATTCACCAAGGAATTCCGAAGAATTCGGTTATTTCGGGTTCATCCTTGACATCATTTTACCTTTTACCCTAGGGAAGCCCCGGGAAAAGGTCGGAAATGGCGTTTAGAGCCCCGACGAGTATCCCAGATCCGTAGATCCCCAAGTAGGTGCCTAACCGCGAGAAAGATGACTTCCGGATTAGTGATCAAAGCGAGTCTTGAACTTTTCTCTTTCCTTACTTTTTCATCTTGCCACGATCTGCCGACCCTAACCTTTCCTCCGGCGTTTTCTGTACCTACAGGTAGGTATGTTCTGCAACACGACGTAGCAACTAACTAACTAACTTTAGCAAATGCTACGTTATCATCAATACGTTAGGAACGCGGGAAATGGCCGAAAGCCTGCTTATATGCAAAAGCAAGTATCATATGGTCGCGGCCGACATCCGATGTGCCGTGGCTTGTTCCGCTGCTGCCGGGGAAATGCACATGCATGCGCCTCACAACGAATAGACGCAGCAGCAGCAGCAGCAGCAATAGTAGTGCCTGTAGTAGTAAATTAACAAGGCCGCTACGGAATCCTTTCAATGAGGGGAAGTTCAAGGTCTGGGTATCTGTCTCCATTGTGTTGGTAGCAGATTCATTCGTCGATCTACTCCAAATATGGTTCTTACGTGGGCTCTCACCCCCACAATATCGGGTTGAGCACATTGTGAGCAAGGCTGACGAGATGGTCCAGACCGTTGCCTAACTGACATGCTATAGTTACGTTATTTGATAGTTATGGATACCGATCTCTCGAAGCCCCTCTTGTGGCATTTTGAAGATTTACTACTAATGCATAGCACGAAAAAAAGACCACCGAGATGGCAAGTTCATGCAAAGACGCATGGAACATCGATCACGGGACAGGACCTATATGTGCAGCTTGATACTATCATTATAGGTACCTAGGTAGGTATCCACTACCTCGGCGATCATGTACACTTCTAACTTATCTCATACGTACAATAATGCTGACGATAAGAGTTTGTAAGTTTACATGTCGTAAGCACCCGTGGTAAATACATCATACTACTATTACTTGGGGGGTAACCTTGTAACTATTCGTATATCAACATCTTAGAGTCCCCGTACTCAACGAATCTAATATCAGTCTCTAATATCAATCGTAACCGAAAGCTCTTAATAATAAGGAAAGAGTTAAAAAGATCGAGTAGTTAGACCAAATAGTAAGTACACGCATCAAATATACATGGTTATCAACCTTGAAAAAAAGAAGTATGTTAAGTATTCAGATGTATGTTCTGTCGCAAGAGGGCGATGCAGGTATTCTGTAGTTAGCAAAAGTGGGGGATGCACTCTCTTTTCCGGGGAGAGGTTCCGAGACGGCGTCCGGGAAATCCCCCCTTGAGATTTCTTTTCCCTTGAGGCTTTCCCAAGTTCGTCTATCCTAGACGTCCGGAGTGGGATTTCTAAGCCTGTCCAGCCCCTTCAGAAATCATTCGTCTTCGAAGGGGGAAAAAAGAAAAAAGAAAAAAAGACACCAACCTAACCTAGTATTAGTCTCTTTCTCATGGGGGGTAATATAGCACTCCTTGTAATAATTTCTCTTCGCTTCTGGTACGTTTCCAGCAAACCTGTGTAACTGTCGTTTATCTTTTACAAGCCTCCTGGTACAACTCGAGCATTCGCCTTTTGCTTTTTTTACTACGAGTTATGATTTATTTTTCTTTTGCATTAGGTACCTAGGTAGAGATCGACTTATCAGATCCGTCTTTTTCCCTTCTTCTGGGGGAATGGGGACGACATGAACAATAACAAACCACTGAATACCCATCAACTCCTGCACTGCGCCGTAAACGCGCACTACTGCAAGGTGAATCGCCTATCCCTTTTCTGTCACCTTCCACCGACGCAATTTTCTATCCCATCTTACCCCTTTCACCCTAATATCTTGCTAGGCCTCACGAGCGTCAAGCTTTGCTCTCCACTGCAGTGCATTCGGAGAATAACATCGCATGTTGCTGCATACATCTAACCTAACACTACTGCACTGCGCTGCACTGCATTTCGAAGCTACCGCAAAGCAACTGTGGCGGAGGGGTTTCAGGCGAAAGAATTGAAAGCACCTCATAATCGCCTCCTGATCACTCCATTACATTCATTAGGTTAGGTACGTACATAGTATGACGAGCATCCCGTCCGATGGTTGGCTTTAGGAAGGGGAGATAGGATACTCAATACGTGCAATAGTATAACCAATAACTCCATAAGTTATTAACTATGACTTTCGAAGTTTGGGTATTAATTTCAATCAAGAGATATGTTTCTCTCAATCGCAACGGTATAGCATCATATTATAGGGAAGGGCTCTGCTAATGGAATGCGATTGGTAGCTCACAACGAGGCGGAAACGCCCTGAAACCTATCGGTTAACTTCAACACGTAACTTAACTACGTTAACCTACCTCTAGGCAGTTACTTCTTTTAAAGTACCTAGTTAAACTAAAGAATTTTTGGGATAGTAGAAATAGGTACCTATGGAAGAAAGCGGTCCGGCTTCGCTCGTCCTTCCATGACACCTAGCCTAGGTAGAAATGAAGAGGGACAGAAAAAGTGCACATGGGGCCCCGGTGAAAACCCGACGTCGGATTGCATATGCAGGTCCGGACGTATGTGGTCAGGGGAAAATGATATATCGTATCACCCTTTTGAGACTTTCTCCTCTTCCCCCCCACTCCTCTCTATCTACCCAACCCTCGGGGAGGCGCCCATAATCAGATGTAAGATGTGACAAAGGCACTCTAGGCTGCATCATCGCGCGATCAAAAAGGAGCTTAGGTGGCTCGGGTAACAGTGATGAGAGACTGATACAGAGAGAAAGAGAGAGAGAGCACTTGCGCGTTACCTACCTAGACCTATTGGAGTTGAAAAGCGTTATACGCGAGTTCGACGCATCATAAAGGGAGTGATAAGCGTCATTGCGCGGCAATACGAAACGGGGCCGCAGATTCACTACCGCTGCCGTTGGCGCCGTCGCTACCTCCTGTCTCACTCAGCTGGCCCTTGTGCAGATTGCGCATACATCGGTTCTCCATGATCGGCTTTGTTTTAAGCATCTGGTCAACGTGTTTAAAGATAGCTACTGCTACTACTACTAGCATACAGGATTGAAAATGTTGCAAAATGCCCGGTTTTCGCCTTCTCTACTCTAGATAGGTACATAAGGGTATGTTACCTAAGTAGATATGCATCTGACGACGCCCTGGAGAGAAATGGTTACCAAAGATGTTCGATTGAGCCCTGAAAAAAAAACCCACACCGCCCTTTCGAGTTACTGAGATCCACGAATCTGCAGGTCACGTCCGGATATGTATGTCAACACCCAGGGGCGGCGGGGTTCCCGCGAACAGACGTATCTCGGCGGTGGCGGGTTAGAACCTACGAAACAACCCAAGCCAACCTACCCGTAGGAAGATGACTTACATAGTGATTGCAATTTTCGTAGTCTATACAATGGGTTTTGTCGGGGGTGTGGGAATTTCGTCATAGATCCCGAGTACGATGTGTTATCATGGACTTTTTACATACCTACCTTACGTACCAGCCACCGATTCGCCTGGGGGAACTGGGGGACATGCTATGTAGGACGTAAGAGTCGGGCGATCTAAAATTTTGTCATCTCCTGAGATTTAGTTAACTAGTGCTTCTAGAATCCCAGATATTTCCAGTCGCGAAGAAGAAAAAAAGTCATTCTTTTGTCGAGTTTGTGTGATAGGAAACTAACAGCGTCATGGGATTGCAATTGCTCCCTAACGCAAGGGACAATGAAGAAGTAGTCGGCGCAATCTTTCTTCCCTAGTATCTAAAGATAGGTAGTTACGGCGACTACTTGCGAAATTGATCATTGCTTCTTGCCAAATATCTAATGCCTATGAAGAGAGAGCCATTCAGAGATCTGTGGATGACGTTGCTACATGGTATCAGCTCCTTGGGAAAGCCATATGCCCCAACTCTTCCTGGATACATAAGCTAACTTGCCATTCTAGACCCCATCGCTAGGAGATGTTTACATCTTCCTACCGACCGCCAGTGTTGCCCAGTCGAACCATGAGAAACGAACCTAGGAAGCGGTCCCATCTATTGTCACTCTATATGAGTCGGCCGGTATGCGTTATGATATGTCGTTATAAAAGTCGGGTTGCTGTGGTGCTATAAGGAGCACTATAATGAGATATTAGAGTCCTTGAGTACTTTTAGGATGAGAGCTTGCCCGGCTCTTCCATCTTGACGGCATTGAATGTTGGCAGTAGTGCTCTACTCCTCTTGTGTGACTTTTGATTCGTTTTGATATTGCTCTCACTCGTCCCGTTACTTGGAAACTCAACAGAGGCAACTGGTGACGAAGAATGGACTTCGTACAAAGTAATACCAGTAAAAGCTCTGTTACCTAGCCGTCTAGATATGGCAACATCATTCACATTTTCAACTGCAAAATAATACAACCAACCATAAGCACGTCAAGATACTTCAGGTTTAGGCCATGATATCGTCCCATCCTATACTCCATTCACACCAACTATCTAGAGTCAGCCACCGGCAATGCACTCGCCTGAATTATCGTACCATAATCCGTGATCGATCTGGCGACAGGACATAAAAACCCCACGGGAAGACCAAGTACCGAAACGTTGTGTCACCCATTCCAGATGCTTGCGGGCAAGCCACATTATGACAGGCGCCGTACCTAAGGTATTGTACAAACAAAAGCAAGCCTTTGGAGGATATGCAGGGGATGTCACATGCGAATACGCTGTTCCTTGCGAAGATACCTACCTAGGAGGTAGTTAAGAATTATCCAGTAACTAGTGGTACTTGGGAAGTGAATATTCCCATCACATTTTGAATTGATATTATGTGCACACTCTACTACTGTGGTATAGCTGTATTCTTCGCTAAAGAATATAGAGCATAATATTAGCTTTACGAATTTCTTGAAAAAAGAAGGTATAGACATGTATTCAAAGCTTCGAGGCAACCTATGTTTACATCGGTACCTAGGTGTATGATTAGCTATCATAAATTAGAACTACAAACTCAGAATAGTCATAACTCTCTGTACCTAAGTTATCCTAAGACTATATCTACTAAGGTGCCTAGTCTACATACATCATCTCCTTTTATACTGTTTCATTTCAAGATGCGGGAATTAGAAGGTACTTGCTATTAAACGTAGAGCTATTAACACTCTTGTAAGGGTTCGGAAGATAGCTATCAAACCGCTACACTTCCAAAAGGTAAAACGATATCAATTTAAGGGGTTGACGTTGCTATTTCCATCTTCACCTATAAAGATCGTACTGTGGCAACTCTCTTAAAACTAACCTCTTTATTGCATAGTACTTATCTGACATAAATATGACTTCGTTGGCTTTAGATTCTATACTAAGGTACAATACAAATATCTCTAGAATTAAGTAAAGGGATATGCACTATATTTGAGGTAGGAGGTAGACATGCCTACCAGGTACAGGTAGGTAGAAACCATAACTTTGTAAATTCCACATTAACTCCAACAACTTGGTAAAACATCCGACGCGTGATATGACAGTGCATTTACTCATGTATCAATCAACCCTTTCTTCGGAATTGCGGGACTATTGCCTTTGCGGCTTTTACCAGTTGATGCTTATTACTTATCTCCGCCCTTCGGTTATTTTGCTTCATTCAATTCGCTCTTGCGGCTAGATCAGGTTAGGTACCTACCCTAGGTAAATGTTTAGAAACGTACCTACCTAGGTAAGGGATCGAGTATTCCTCTAGAAAATTCTTCTGCGTGATCCCTTTCATCAGTCCGGCAATTCGGTACTAGGGGCCGTTCAAACTTTCTAGAAACGTGGGAAAATTCGGAGCCGAGCTTACAAGGTCTCCCTGTTAGTATATCTGCGGCTAAGATGACTGACGACATACCACGTCCAAGGACTCGGGATACGCGGTAGACAGACAGATGGGGACGACGGATTAAGCCGAACTCTATGCGTGTGAAGTCTGGTACGGGACTAATCTAATGTGGTAGGTCTCAGTGGGATAAGTGGATAATGTAGGTAGTTGATGACATTTGAGCCGCCTTATTTTTTATTTTTTTTTTCATGGTCCTTTCAAAGATTGGTCTTCGACGCACCATGTAAACAACACTAGAAGGCTAGCAGAAATTGCATCTATTATGCGCATCCTAGGTTCAGGTGGGCCTTGACAAGGAAAAACCCAAGCCTAGGGACGAAGTAGGATAGCAAGTTTAATAATATTCCTGGAGCCTCAGTCGACACACACCGCTTAAGTTTGATAGTGTTGCATAGGGCAACGGTACCCTCGCCGGGGGGGGCTAATCCTTGAGGTTCGGCAAAGCCACACGACATCCACATATAATAGGCTTGGGTTAGAGTGATATTATTACCGGCCTGAAGCTGCTAGGTAGGTAGATAAGCATCGTCTCAAAATAAGGTCCACTGTCGGGAAAACCGCTTCCCATTTCGGCCACTACATACCAACATCTTGCCCTTTACGTGTCTACATGCTGGTTGGAGATGACTTGATGATAGCTACCTAGGTATCAAATTTCGCGCTGGCCATGTACCCAGCATCTTTCGAAACCCACGCTGAACATTAGATGCTCGATATTCCTTCCATACATCCGGTCGTACGGCTTGCATACTTCACTTTCCGTCGTGGTGGAAGGCCCGTCACCATCTAAGCGACCCAGGCAAATTTCTAGAATGGCTCGACAATCGCTGACATGTATCATCTAGGAACGCTTCGTAGAAAATCTCCACCAAGGGGGGCTCTCCGAAGATAGATAGGTAGATATGCAAGTTCCTATTAAGGTCGACGAAGGAAGAGGGGGATGATTAACAAGTGGGAACTTTATAGGAGCTGTATATTACCTATCATTTCTATACCTACATATCATTTCCGTTCAACTTTGATACTACCAAATCGGGCAAATTATGCGTACTGAGAAGCCTCGAAAATGGCAAATGATGAATCTGCGGTGAGCTAAGGAGTAGTTTACATCATTTCCCCTTCGCCTTTTCACTCCTAGTCTTTGGCTGATCCTTCTATGCCGAGTCGACGCATCGCCAGCCCCTTATTTTCCAAGGGTTGGGCTCAACTGCTTATGTGCGGTATGCAGGTACCTACACGCACGGGGGATAAATCAAATCAGATTAGTTATTCGTTGGTATGGCTTTTGCTATCAGCGAATATAGCAAGAAAAGGGGAAGTCTATAGGCATTATGAGTCTTCCCCTCGTTTAGGCTGGCAATGTAGCTCTATGTTATGAGGTGCTTCCCTCAAACATGACGAAAATGGCATCAATAACGTAAGAGGTCACTGAAGGCGTCGACTAGGAGGTAGACTGATGGTTGACGAATTCTACTACTTATCTGCCAGTTTTATACTTACGCCGATAAACACAAAATAAAAACTATTTTATTTAAAAGCATTGATAGCCTCGTTAAAGCAGTTTTGCGGCATTTTTAGGTAATTGAGTAAAAGATCTAGGGACTTAATAAATAACAAATCGCTGCGAGGGTTAATGAATGAAGTAAGTGAGGCTCTTGAACCATGATGCTGCCACACGTGGCGTCTGTTGTCACGTAGTGATATTTCTTCAGATCAAGGAGAAGCCATATGGTGCAAATGGCCATATTAAATGCATCCGTAGCTGTTATTTCATCTACTTATTCTTATGCTTATGAGATATATCTTCTTAATTCCACCTAAAAAAAAACCCATCTTGTCTTATAGTCAATCTTATTTTTATTCTTTTGGACATACGGCGTTTTCTATTTTATGGTGATATATTTGTAATTTTAATCAACACCTTAGCATATCTAATGTCAAAACACAGCTAGTCCCTGCAAAAGCTGTCTTATGAATGGGAGCTATGTATAGGTATTATTTGTGTACCTAAGGTTTCCTTACGGTTAGACAGCGTTGTACGAGAGCTCCCCGTTCTTTTTCTTGTTCTCGGTACGCTCTCTCAGCTTGCTGCTCATGAGCACAGGGAGGAGCTTGGCGAGTATGGGAAAGCGGTTGAGGGCGTCGACGATTTCGCCTCGTCATCGCTTCGAGGGGCACAAATAGATATACAGGGACATGACTTTTCTTAAAAAAACAGGCTTTGTTAGTATCATATTAGACTCTACTCCAGGTGTATAAAAAGCAGTTAGTGTCCTTATAGGTACCTCCGACTTGCCACTTTTGAGAGCACCGAATTTTCTGCGAAAAGATAAATCGCCGGTGATATCAAAGGTGAGAGATTGTAGGGTCGTCGACATGTTGAATCACCCCTTTCGGGATCCTAGAACACCCACTAGGTGAATTAACTCGTCTACCGCAACGGTATTCTCCTGCTCCAAAATACCATGATCTAAGAAGGCGCCGGCTAGGTAGTTTCGCATTTGCTTATGGACCTCTGGTCTTCTCTCACTGATGATGGACTACGTTCCGATGCCCACAAAGCTACCGCCGCTGTAAGATTCCCATTTACGAATGTCTTATGGCCGGGTCTCGCGCCGTAGAGGTCTCTCCAGGACTTGGCGCTGTTGAAAGAGACTTCGTTCGGCGCGGTGCATACGGCAGGGCCGACGTCGTGTTGGCTAGCTCCTGGATTTTATCTAGTAGACGAAACCGACATACATACCATATTTATTATGTAGCTCGAGCATCTTATACGGTTGGCGACCGTCTATGAACCACCAACAGTGTGGGATTTGGCATTGTTAGCTTGGGAATTTGCTTCATATGCTACGAGAAGACTTACACTGCTGATAGCAGTACCTCTCGGCCCCGGAACACTGTGGAGCGGATGGAAGTAAAGGTTGTAATTGGACTTGTATATCCAGTGACCATTTATCTGCAAACGGGTCAATTTGGATTCGAACTTGCGACTAAGAAGAGGGCCATTACGATCCTGGCTTACAGGACCTCAGCGATCACCGACCGTACCTAGATCAGCTCCATCTTGAGCATGTGGCTGATGTTTGGGCTGCTCGTCAACGCTGTTCGAATAATACACCTATTCTGAGCTTCTGTTGCGCCCAGTCTTGGATTCCCTCAGTGAATGGTTCTCCTTGCAGGAATGATGTGAGAAACACAGGAAGTCCTGGGGGGGGGGGGGGGGGGGGGGGGGGGGAAAAAGAAAAACCCAAAAAAAAAAAAAAGAGAGCGGAAAAGAAAAAAAAAAGCCAAAGGAAAGAACAGAAAAAAACTAAG